TTGTAATTTTGGCCTTTCTAACCTGTCTATTCCTCCACCCCTTAACTCTTTATTTTCATATATACTCCTATGAGAAGTAAATGTGTGATCAGACTGTTCGAAATTTGTTGCGCAAATACATTACACGGTTCAGACAGATTATGTCTTATTATTTTGCGAAAATTCATGAAGGGAACTAATTGTTTAAAATTTTAAACAACTTTAGTCAAAATATCTTGAGTGGAACCCGAATGGAGAGCGGTGAGCTGGACGTCAGCGCGAGGGTGAGATGGAGCAGATCATGCGAAGAAGCGATGAAAGCAAGTGGGCAGACGTGGAGCCAGGTGAAGACGTTGGCGGAGAATCCAGCGCAATAGAGACGTGCGGTTGAAGCTTTATGTTCCTCTAGGAACTAAAGGAGACAATAATAATAATAAAAGTCAAAATGTCTCATAATTTGTATTCTTCATTCTAAAAGCTTTCAAACATTTTGTCGAACTTTTTCCTACCCACCAACGCAAACAGAATGGCATAAACAAACTATCCTGATGTATTATTAGCGATATTATTCCTCTTTATATTGACTTCATTTCAATCATCCTACATACTGATTATCACGTGATGAACTACTCACTCGTCTTCACATCTTTGTACTAGGCACTCGCTCAACACACTTCACAAAATTGAAGTAAGTGTTATGTATTGGTCGAGAATTTAATAGTCTTGACGCAAGAAAGACGGAAATCAGAAGACCACTAGGTTTGCGATGATACTTCTATTTTCCAAACACAAGGAGAATCAATGTCACACAAGTGTGTGAGAGCAATTTAGTGTGAATGTCTGAACAAGTGTGTGAGCGAATATTCAAAATGAACAAATCAATAGACAGTCTTAACATGATTGGCTAATTACAATGGAATATCGATCCATATATGCATAGTAAAATACAACCGACTGTCAAACAAACACACATATGATATGGGTACATAATAGTAAGCTACCAATTTTTCTTCCCTAACATTGCACACACTTTTTATGACTAATTTTTCCCACCCTGGATCGATGGTAGTTCAGTGATACAGAATGTTCTCCAACTATGTCTCACATCGTCTGGGTCCAATTGTCGGCCGACGCACTCCTAAACCTCGCAACTTTTAATTCTCAAATGATAATATTGACTGTATAACTGTCAAATGTCGACCTAAACACCTGTCTAAATACAAATTCATTCATATCACGAACGTTTATTTCACACCTTGTTGTAGCACTTCAGAACTATCTATGCTTGCTGATGAATTCACTATTTTCGCTGCCGCCTCTTTTGAAAACTCATTGTCCATAGTGACAGGTGATCTTAATTTCTGTGACTGCAGCTTTCTTACAGTGCTAGGTCATGAAAATGTCGTTAACTTTCCCACCAAACTGGATACTTCTCTTGATCTTGTATTTGTAAATGACTGCGGATTATACGAAGCTCGTAAAAGAGCCCCGCTGTTTAACTCAGATGATTGCATTGTACAGGTTTTACCCAAAATTTATGGAAAGTTACACAAGAAAACTTTTTCACACTTTTCCAAGAAAACTGTATATGGATGTAACTCTTTGGAGAATGTTCAGAATCTTAGGGGCATGCTCAAAGACAGAAGGTGGGACTTGTTTAGTGAAGACTCCCTTGTTGACACTATCTCTAATATTACATGTTATCTCAAATTTTGTCTTGACACCTGTTCTCCCAGAGAAACGCTCTTCATCAGATTTGACCGTTTCTCCTCCCCTCAACTTAAAAAGCTTCGCGGGCAAGAAGAAAAGGTATACAAAATAAAGGATAATACTGGTTTGAAAAGAATTAACATTCTAATAAAGTCTGAAATGCACTGATTGAATTCAATTTACAATCAAAAGTTTATATCCTGTAAAATGCATCTAATATATGGAAACCTTTTAAAGAAATTACTGGTGGTAAGCTGGTGAATATTATTCCTTATTCCTTTGTTGTTTGCACACTAAACAAGTCTCTCATACATTCTCCCACAAATGCCAAACTTCCTAGTGTCACAAGTGTTAATGAAACCTGCTTCTCTGGTTTCAATACAAATGATGTTCTAAAATGTCTCCAGTGACTGAACCATTCTTGTATCCCAGGACCAGATTGTTTGCCTAGCGTTTTTCTAAAAACAATGTGCAGATATCCTATTATCCCTTCGTTGACATATATAATGAAACTTTTTCCAGAAATGTCGTGCCACCTGTTATGTACTCGTTGAGAATTTAATAGTCTTGACGCAAGAAAGACGGAAATCAGAAGACCACTAGGTTTGCGATGATACTTCTATTTTCCAAACACAAGGAGAATCAAAATGTCACACAAGAGTGTGAGAGCAATTTAGTGTGAATGTCCGAACAAGTGTGTGAGCGAATATTCAAAATGAACAAATCAATAGACAGTCTTAACATGATTGGCTAATTACAATGGAATATCGATCCATATATGCATAGTAAAATACAACCGACTGTCAAACAAAACACACATATTATATGGATACATATCACCACCCGTTTGGAAGGACATTGGAGTTTTACCTATACCTAAGTCGTCTACGGGAACGTATTAAATTTAGACCTATTGCTATTAACTTGCCTTTTCTTAAAACTGAGGACTCCACTTAAATCCTTTAACGATACCAAACAGTTCGCCTATAAACACAGCAGAAGTACTTTGGATGCAGCTGTAGTCTTGTATCACAACATTGTCTCCAGCTTAGACAAGGGGGGCTAAATTTGTTCGCTGCATCTTCCTAGATTACACATCTGCTTTCGACTCAGTACCTAAAGACATTTTTTTAAACAAGCTTGCTGAAACTCAAACTGACTTTTGGGTTGTCAAATGGCTGCATTCTTATTTTTCAAGAAGAAAGAAGTACACTGTATGTTAGGGAAAGTCGTCCACTTCATTGCTTACTGAGGCTGGTGTCCCTCAAGGCGCTGTTCTTTCTCCTTTTCTGTTTTCTTTCTTTCTTGCATGACTTGCCTTACTCTGATGAAATGAAATTTGTTAAGTATGCCGATGATCTAACTATTTCAATGTCTGTTAACTCCCAGCTAGACTGTCCTAAGATGAACAGATTTCTATCAGGAGTCAGTAAATGCTCTCCGTCTAATGGTCTTCAAATTAATCCTTTCAAATGTCAGACTGTGAACATCAGTTTCCAAAGTAAACGAAAGTTAAATGAAGCTGTTGGTTCCTACGACCGTTGCAAAATTAATGATAATGATATAGAAATCAGGTCTGAAGTTAAGTATCTTGGATTAATTCTTTCTTCTGACCTATCCTGGTCTTCCCGTTTCTTAGCAATTTCTAAAAAAATGTTTCGTCTGACCTTTTGCATTAAGAAGTTAAAGAACTCAGGCATAAGTCAACCACTCCTCTTACAGTTTGTCAAATCGTGTATTTTACCTATTCTTCTTTACTGTTCACCCTTATCCTTTCCTGGATTGCCTAAAAAAGACCATGTCATACTTCGTAGAACTCTGAAGACTGTCAGTAGGTCGAGTGGTTTCCCATTGGGCCACATCGTTGACATTGTCACTGATAGGCACTTGATGTCATGCAACAAATTTGATAAAGGAATTTTGTCAGGCTGTGAACACCCACTCTACTCACAGCTCCAACCTTGTGTCTCCTCAGGTAAAACAAGAAGTCTTTCCAGAAGACTTTATGCATGTACGTTTGAGTATAAAAATTCCACTATACCATATTTGGCACGTATCTTATGTGATGAAAGTAGTGTCAGGCATGAACTAGCTAACCTTCTTTGCAATACTAAATAAACCATTTCCTCCACCCTTACAACACTAACATTTATTGTTATTGTACTTCTGATATTTATAATCCTCTCAACTTTTTGTTTTTATTTTTGTTTATTTTTCATAAGTGTGAACATTATTTAAGCTGTGTCAAAACTGTTGATTTTGTATTTCCCCTCACCATACTGCTACACCAACAGAACATTAGACTGAATAATCTATAACATGCTAAAATTTCCAAACTGAATCGACAATACTGTTTGAAACAAACTCACTGTTATTATTATATTTAATTATCTCAATTCGTGCTTCGAATATTTTTGACTTTATATTGTAAACGTGGACAAATTCCTTTGGTTACTTTTGTTTTAATTTTATTTATATTTTAAGTAAATCAGATGCTATATTGTGACAAATGCTGAGAATTCCATTCTGTAATAATAGAAAAGATTTGTAACTCAGGTGGATGATTTGGAATTGATAGTGTTCTCTGAGCTCCTTGGTTTAATTGCGGAGCTTTCATCGTCTTTCTGGACGACATCCCAAATACTGCGCTGAAGATGTCGTCCAGAAAGACGATGAAAGCTCCGCAATTAAACCAAGGAGCTCAGAGAACACTATCAATTCCAAATTCCATTCTGTATTATAAGTACTGTTTTTGGAATAAGGTAGATTAGTATTATTAAGGCCGATGAAGAGGGGAGGTTGGTTGTGAGGTTAGTCAACCCAGCCAGTAGAGACAACACCACCCCCACCACAACTACTGAAACTTCAAGGCTAACGCTCGAAGCCCTATGTTCCGCTAAAAAGGAAGGAAACACCATCCTCATCACCATATCCATCTGATTTTACGCGATGGGACTGCTAGCCTCGAACCCAACTATCTCTCCTTATCAGTCCTTACTACCTGCCAAGCGAGGTTTAGGAGTGGTAGCAGCCAGGAATCGAACCTTATACCACATGTGTGTTTGGTGAGTATTCTATGAATGGATCTTCGATGCACCGTCCTCATATTACGAATATTTTAGTTATAAAAGTGATGGGTTTCACACAACTACGCTCCAGTGATAACGATAAAAAAAACTTATCCTCATAAATCTGTATTACAAATAAATAACAGGATGCTAAAAGAAAAGGCTGCACATGTATACAAATTTGATCTAAGAAAGACTGGACAGAGAAACATAATCAATACAAAATCAATGTGAATTAATCAATTAATCAGACCAATCATCATCATGTTTTGAGCCTTTTTTATGCTTTTGTTTGTGTTTTCTTCCACTTTTCTTTTCATTCGATACTGATGGTTTTTCAGACTCTTGAACGACAGTTTGACTAACATCAGGTTTGGAAGAAGTAGCTTCAACGTTTGGAACATTTGTTTCAATATTCTCATTCTTTTTCTTCGTCTTCTCCTCCTGCTCCACGTCCTTTGGTTTCTTTTGTATCATCACTGATGAAATAGGATTTGGTTTGCCTAATCCTCTGGTAGTATGTTTTGTACTGTCAGCTATTTCAATACAATACTTGCCTTTGATTTCATTGTGAAGAAATGTTTCAATAGAACCGTAATTTTCAGGTTCAACGAAAGCAGCCTGAGCAAAAAAAATAAACAGACCTCTTTGAGAATATAATCACTCATGAGTATTCTGGATGAAATGTCTGTCTGTCTGTTTTCGACATAGAACTTTGCATCGATGTGTGGCAGTTCAAGTCGCCACACATCCTCAATGTAGCACACAAAGCAAGAGAAGAAATGCATATTAGAGACAGTAAACAGAGGTGTGAGACAAAGGAATGGAAATAACGAAGAACAAAACAGTTTCATTGGAAATCATAAGTCACAGGGTGTGGATGCACCTGCGCCATTGAGAACGATTTTGAGCCATATCACCGATTGTTTCCAGCCTTCATTGGTTTTTACCGTCCCGAGGACACCAACCCGGAAGTCTACACCTTCCTACGTGGCTGGGTTAAACTAACTGTTATGGATTTCATTGACTGATGAGGCCATGTTTCGGTTTGACCGCCGCTAGCTCTTTTCCAGCCTGACCCTATATCAGCTGACATCGCTCGTCGAGGAAGGCGATGACTAGGCACCGCTTCTATTCTGGAAGAAATCACATGATATACTTCTTAGATAACTGGAGGATATCCTCAGATAGGATTTGAAGTTATTTAGAAAATATTTTCGTAAAAATAGCTCTCTTCTGATAAAAACTAAACCAAAACCGATAATTTTAAGTCTGTAGTATATATGTATGTATACGGTACATGTTTGACTAATATGATCCATGGAGGCTTAAAGTGATATCTTAGATATAGAAGATTGATTTTTACACCAGATGGCAGATTCGCGAATGCGAAATGAGCGCTTGAGAGCACACTGAATATAGGGTTGAAAATTTATCATCCACCTCCCCTTGAGACTCTACAGCTAGTTTAGACAATATTCTGACAGAAACTAACCAAAAAAATAACATAATCCTATCTGTTACTTTTTTCCTTTAGACATCCATGCAGATTTTAGTCAATATCATTGCTAATCACTGTGGAAAATGAGTCCCAAAAATCTATAGTGTAGATCTTCATCTCGTTCCAGCCGACAAATGTGATGACAAGTAAAATGCTAAGGAACACACGATTGCCCTATACACTTAGTTCTGTATTGTCCTATTTTCCCTTATTAAGAATGGAGATTTAAAGCTAAATATAAATACATAAGATCATTAATCTAAACTTTTCTTCGATGGCTTTCGGAATTACGAAAGCATAGGACAACTACTGTTGACTGACTGAGTTTCAACCAAGAACTCGGCACAAAACTACAACAGTTAAACTTGCCACACTCCATGTAGCACAGAAAAGCAGAGATAAGATAGAAAGGAAGAAAGAGATTCAAAGCAGACCATGATGAGCAGAAATGTGATGGGTAAAGAACAGTAACATGAAGAAAAAACATGAGAGATTTATGGATCCAGGTGATCATAAATAGTGAAAGCATCTGAACTATTGAGAATGATGTTTTTTTAATCATACCACCAATAAGTCTCCAATTGTTGGTTCTTAGTATCCTGTAGACTCCAATCAGGCAGTCTACACTCTCCTACATGGCTGACTCAAACTAACTGTCAAATACTTCATGGATTGATTACATGTCTTGATTTGACCACCTCTAACACTTTTCAAACCTAATTTTAAAATTGCTCGTCCAGTAAGGCAGTGGTTCGGCATGCTCAACATGTCCTAGACATTTTCAATTGATGTAACTTCACAATCTGATTGACTGACTTCCCTTCCATACTTATCAATCTACGTCTAAACTCAATACTTTTCACCATATTATGCTGCTGAACACGATATATTGACGGCAAACATTTATGGTGAAAGAAAGCTAGAGTCTTCTAGTCTTCCACTTTCATTGGTGATGTCTCACAGCCATAAAGAAGGACAGAGAGAACTGCTATACACTGAACACATCCTTTGATCGATAGCTGAATACTGCCACTGTTACTTCTATTGCTGTACTAAGTAAACTGAAGATAAGACAAAACTTTAGATTTAAGAGACTTCCTAAAGCTAATGTATGTCTAAAACTTGGGCACTGTGGTAGTAAGTAATTCCATATTAGTTTGTTTATTAGATGTATTACACAGTGAAACACTATTATTTACTGGATGACGTTTAGAACAAAATTTATTGTTCATAATCACTTACGAATTTGAAAGTCAGGAAGGGGAGCTCCCATTGTTAGATTGCAGCGTAAAAAGGAAAGATGGGAAGTTGAACACTAGTGTTTATAGGAAACCCACACATTCAAACAGATATTTGGACTTCCGATCATCCCATCTTATGTCAGTAAAAATAGGATTGGTGAAATGTTTAAGTGACAGAGCACAAAAACTAAGTAGTACCAAGGGAAATCTAAGACAGGAAGTGACACATATATGAGAAGCCTTGAAACTTGATAATTACCCGGATAAATTAGTCAATAAATATGTAGGGAAATGTAAAAATAAAATAAATAATGTTAGTAGTGATAGTGATCATATTAATATTAATGACGACATGCATGTAAAATACGCGCAAGACAACACCAACACTAAGGAATCTAAACCATCAGTAATAATTCCATTACGCATAATTCTTAACAAGATAGGAATAAAAGTGGCTGGTATTCAAACCAACCACAAACTCAATTGGAAACAAGCTTTGTCGGTTAAAGGATCAATCCTGTGGAGCCTTTAAAGCAAAACAGTTTAGTTTATCTAATACCCTGCCTGCAATGACTGTCAGGTCAAATACATAGGTCAAGCTAGTAGAACAGGGTCAGTCAAACTAGCTGAACATAAAAACCTGGCAAAATCTAGATTGGTTGATCCAAATAAGATAAGAAATCTAGAGAATAGCTCAGCTATAGCATTACATGCAGTTACACACAACCATACAATAGGATGGGATAGGAAGACAGTTTTAAAATCTAATGTCGCACAGTGGAGGGAGAGATTGATAACAGAAGCTTTGTTTATCGAATCAACTGCAAACACCCCTGTAATAGGAATGATTCAACACCTGTCCACTCAGATATCTCGAAAATTCTGCTACCCCAAAGACGACAAATAGGAGAAAACAAAGAAAACTATAAAACCAAAGGTTCAAAGTTGTGTGATTATAATTGATGGTATGATTATGAACAATAAATTTGGTTTGAAACTGTGTCATCCAGTAAATAATACTGTTTCACTGTGTGATACATCTAATAAACAAACTAATATGGAATTCCTAAAGCTAAGTTCATGCTAACTGTTAAGAAGAAACTAATGAGTAACAATGCAGTTAACATGTTTTATCTTAATTTTTGATGAAAACGAGAGCGAAAATTGTACTTGGATTTTTAGCGAAGTGATAACTATTTAGTGCTAATTACTCTATACAATTAAAACTGGATCTATCAAATTTGTAGTGTGGTTACTATGCTATAATAGCACGATAATTAGATAATAGGTATAAAAGTACACTTTTAATCTACCTTTTCTATATTACATTTATTATTTCTGAGATAGTATTAGCGTAGAACTCTGCACAGAAGTGTGGCAGTTCAAGTACCTGCAAACCTTGTAACACAGGTAGAGAAAAGAATGGAAAAAACGATTCAAAAGAACTACAGTGAGCAAACGTGTACGGAAGACAGAGGACAGTAACATATTAACACAAGAGGACTTAATGGATATTGGGAAATCACATAGAGTAAATGCATCTGTGCCATTCTCAGCCATTGTTTCTTAGCATCCCAACAACGTCAACTAGGCAACCTATACCTCCCTAAGTCGCTGGCTAGAACTAAATGTCAAAGTTTTCATGAACTAACTCCAGGTTTTGTTTTGACCACTTCTAACTTTTCCAAACTAATCCCATGTCAGCTAAGATTGCTCGTCAAGAAGGGTGACAGCTCGGCATACGCAACATGTGCCTTGGCCATCTCAATCGATTTACCTTCAAAATCTCAGCGATTGATTTACCCTCCTTACCTAGTACTCTCCGTCTAGCTTTAGCATCACTCATCATATTATACCACTTGACATGGGAGATGAGACGCAAACATCTACAGTCAAAGAAGGCTAGGCTTTTCATATATTCCACTTTTAATAGTCGTGTGTCATAACCATAGAGCAAAACATAGAGAAGTGTTGCACAGTAAAACATCCTTTTATCGACAGACGGATATCACGGATATGCTAGAAATGACGAAATCGTATTGAGATTTCGTCACTAAGCAGTAGTTCATGATATTTGATGAAACTTCCCAAATAATTGGTATGGTCAACATACTCTATCACTACACTTCTCATATTTAAGCTAGCTGTCGGTGCAGTCAAGTCCTGCGCCATCATCTTACATTTTACAGGAGTGAATCGCATGACAAACGTACTACAGCTTCTGTCCAGGGTTTTCAGAAGACTTAGCATTTTGTTACCTAGAAAGACAATATCATTTGGATGCTCTAAGTCGACACAACTGTTCCCTGGTAGTAAGTCAATCCCTATATAAGTGAACTCAGGGTCATTTATATTAGTACATTTATGATGAAACTAAACAGAAATGGGGACGGTGAGCATGCTTAGCAGACACCACTAGTTAGCATCACTTTAGATGACAACTCTTCGTGAACTCCTACACGACATCTGTCTAAACAAACTTGTTAAATCATAAGCAGAAGAAACCTTATTAGATATCCATTACCTGGAACAGATGTTTCGTGTGCTAGGCTGAACATATTTACCGTGGAAGGATTGATGTTACTACCCACTTGGTCAGGCTGAAGTAGGTAGTGCGGCGCTCGAACCTGATACCTATTGGCTGAAAACCAAATTCTGAATCCCATGTGCCACATTTCCACATAAGAGACCTTGCCATGTCACTCTTTATATACAGTGAAATTCCTACAACCAGGATACCTACGCCTAATTTCACCGAACAAGTAACAGAGGTCTTAAATTGAAGAACAAAGGCTTAGAATTTACTTATTGTACTACACACCAGCAACCCGAAATCTAATGTCATTTAGACGATAAGAGCGACAGATGGCGTTCCGCGTCATTTATAACTAAAAATTGCCACAATATTTCTCAAGTGAAATGAAGAAACATGGCCATTTTTCTAGAGCCTGTCGAAGAGTGGATATGTGATCAATACACTTCTGTTCACACTTGAAGTCCACCTAATTTACTCGAGTTTGTCTTTACCAATCACACAAACACTTTGCAGAACCATGGGAGCTAGAATCTAAGATATTATTATTCAAGCTGAACCACCTGTGACTGTCACAGATTTTCGGTCTTTCTTATGGACTGCGACGACCAACGGTTAACAGCACTATAGAACTAGTTCGGATTCCTAATTAATAATTTAGTTAATTTAGTCACTAACTCCTCACTGATAGGTCCAGAGGCTTTGCCGAATTTCAGATGTAAAACGGTTTATACAATCTCTACTACATACTAATTGTGTTGATAGTTATTTAACTAGTTGAAGTGCCCATTAGAATGTTTTATTACTTCAATGGGGCAACAGCAGCATTTTAAAAAACATATATTAGGTACTCACTACAATAGGTAGTATAGTAGTAATCGTTGGTATTACATAGTTGGAGGCAATCGGCAGTAAGCCTTAGACATAGGTTTCGTGCTAGTTGGCACTCGTCAGCAAGTCATATCTGCAATCTCGAAGGGATTCATGTCCCTTCTGAGATTCGAACCCGCGTCACCCAGTGTTGCAGTCACAGACATTAGTACTGAGATATTCAGGCTCCCAATTGGCCTCCTGTAGGACCAACAATTCACACTGTATCCTGATGGCGAGCCACCTAGCATGACGGCCACATTGCAAGCTTAAATACTAGAATTCAGTCTATACCAGAGATAGGACTAGACACACTACACTAGTTACTGACTAGTGTCCGATCAAAAATAGTAGTAATCAGAACTACTTCAGATTCATGACCTGTCTCACTGATAGTAAAATAGTGGTCAAGTGGAACTGACTTTTTGTCTAACATTCTATTAGAATCTACCATATAACAAAAAGTCAGGAATGATGATCAAAACAAAACGGTTTACGCGAGGAGCAAATGACGCATTATCTGTCGATAATACACTTTAATCACAAACAATAGCAACCACGCAAAAACAGTAAATATTGACTAACCAATTCACACAATCCATCTGGTAATTCACTTTGACGTATGACTTCGTTACACAACTCCAAAATTTTCTTGACCACAGATTCATATACATCCTTTTGTATAGTAATGATAACTTCCATCATTGAAGGTGCTATTTTAAATCCTGGGCTGGCCCGTAGCTGTTTAATCACTTCCAGAGCCTACAGAATTAAAATTTGAAACATTCTTACGTGCTGCTTAGCATTTTTGTTGGCTTTCAGTGAAATATGACAGTCTTTCATCATTTTTTCAATCATTGTGGCAGTATACGCACGATTGTTCTCTGGATTAACACACCGCTCAGACACTATTTTGGCCACATCTTTAAAAAGAGCTTGCTGCTCGACAAGACGTTCTTTTTCAGTAAGTTGTAGTTCTCCATGTTCTAGAATCTGAAGACATATCTTAAATAAGGAACGTACTGTTTTTATTATCTGCCTTTCATCTTCAGTTCGGAAATCAATATACATCTCCTTCCTGTTTGCGAATTGACCCTTTGAAACATTTGCGAAGACACAGTGGGCTTGCAAGACCTCATCTAAATTAGTCTCACTGGAGAGTAAATATTTTATATAGTTGTTACAGTTTGTCTCTCCATGAGCGTACTTTATTTGGGTAACATGCAAGTTCGTAGCGATGACCACCTTTTTTTAAACGCACTACAGACACATTCGTGAGTCTTTTTTGATTTGTAGGGGTAAACAGAGCCATTGACTACCTGGGGCACGATCTTGTAATGTGAAGTACCGCACAGTGCAAATTACCCGCATTCAAAATAATTCAGATTTTCGGATTTATTTGAATATGGAAACCTTGAGACTCATGTTTAACTTCTTCTGTTAGTCACTTACCCCCTTCTGCTTGCCAAGCGAGTGAATTAGGCTGAGAATGCAAGCGTCGGTGGCACAGTGGTTAGGACTCTCGCCGACCATGCACATGGTCCGGGGTTCGAGCCCACGCCGGCGCACACCTGATATCTATGGTCGGCCTGCAAAATTTGGGCTACCGATATCCATGCTGAAGATTCCATACTTGTACCAAAAATACAGTGTGGAATCAAGCTGTTAATCAATCAAAAATAAAAAATAAAAATAAAATAAAAAAAACATCTATTCATGAAGCTTATTCTAACAGTCATGTTAATAATGAAATTGGTACAATGCTACCGTATGGGTGGTCTCGAACTATCATGCTCCAACTCCAAGCCCTCTGAATTGTGTAGACCTTGCCAAAAAAAAGATAGCTTAAATCAAGTTTACAGACAGCCTTTAGAACTCTGTACATCCGTACCTTATGCGATGTCTGATGAAGTGGAGACAGTCCTTTCAGTTACTTTTACTTAATATCCATTTTCGCCAACACTGATAAATCTGACCATTCTCTGAATTCTCTCCAATAACATGGCCAAATTTCTCAACAACAGCTACTGGATGGAACGCAGTTTTCTACTTTGTTACACATCAGACATATTCATAGATTGGTGAATAAATAAGAAATCAAATTCATGGAACCTGGTAACTTTTGGATAAATCACCCTCTTTAGATGACGTGCTTATCTGTAATACTGAAGATCCAAATAATTCATAGCGGATAATGTGCTGTTTTGGTTGTAAATAACTTCCTTATGTTTGATTTTCTAGATACATTCGTGGACAGCTGCAAGCGCAGCACTATGCTTTAATCAGCTGAGCAGTTCCCTAGATTGCCTATATAGGCCAGGTCAGACTTTACTAAAATACACCTCTATCCTAACTAAATTTTCATACAGATGACCGGTTCACCCACATAAGTCTTTGACTAAATCACCTTTGTGTATTTTTGCTGAATGATAACCACTGAGATCGGATTTGACTCTGTGGCTGGACATTTTTTCCTCCCATGTCATTCACTGCGAGATTAACCACTGCCTGTATTTCTCCTATACCTTGAGTTTATTCCAGCTGCTAAGAAAGTATCCATAGTCTTCACCTGTGACATTTGATTTAACATAGTTTTGTAATGGTGAGACGCGGTGTTTCGTGCATAATACAGTCATCCAACTTTTTTTCCCCAGCAGGTGGGTTTATAGTGAAAGATGACTACATAAATGTCAGTAACGTTTTTCTCTGGTTGACTATGACAGTCAAATGAGCGAAGATTCCTTCGGGTGATGAAACTAGGATATCTCCTTATGATTTATCACTGGTGATCCTAGTTTAGGTCTCACGTATAGTCCAAAGACTTTGGGCTTTGAGCTCTGAGTGACGGTTTACTGTAGCTATGACTTTTGATGAATAGTAATTCAGTGTGCGTCTGACTTAAGGGAACGTCTTCTTCCTTGATTTAAACTGCTTCATCATTTGCATGCCTACTGTACATAACCGCTCGTATGGCCACGTTACTCGCAGTAACAGTTATTTTAACTAACTTAACAGATTGCTAAAACCAGTTTTTAATATACTTGCATCCTTGTTCTCTAAAGCATTGCTTCGGGCACTTTAGCTAAGATACGAGCAATGGTAAAACCCTGGGGAAACAATACAATGATACGTAATATTTAACCTACAGCTGGCGGTAAGTTTTGGCACAATTCACTTACTATATCTGACCATGTATAGGAACAAGGTTTACCAAAAGAGGTTTTAATATGGTGATGAATTGTTTTTGAACACATAAAGGGGGTCTAAAATTCGTAATCGACAAGGCTTTCAAAAACTGTGGGGTACACCCTAAACGGGTTCGAAAGAAATGTAAACATCAATTTTATGTCCTGTATATATATGTTCTTCAGTAGAAGAGTAAGGTCGTCTGCTGTCACCTGTTATGGGTTCTGGGGATTCCATTTGCTTCTTAGGCCCTCACTAACGGAGATCAATGAGTCATTCTTATGTTTGTGTGATAACACATATTTAAATTGGTAGGTACAGTGGGATGTAACTTCATTTTTCGTATATTCTAAAGTTTCGAATGAATATACAGACTTTATATCTTCATTTAGTAGGATCTTGGCTGCGTAAAGAGTTCGTATGGCCACAATGTTCTATCTCTGTTTGGTAATCTGCTATGATCATGCACTTGGGTTAGCTTCGAGTTGGAGAATGTGTGATAGTACTCTACCACTTTATACCTACATATGAACCTTTCTGGATAATTTATATTGGTAAAAGTTTCTTCCAGACTTCTTCTCCCGTCTTCAAGTGTATTCCCCGTCCATATTCGTTAAATCCTCTTGAAGTGGTACCTCACCTGCGAAATTTCGCCCCGAATAGGAGCAGAACTGTGGTAATTAAGTTAATGTCCTTTCCATATAGGTTTTCTGCAAATAGATTATTCCATATATCTGTCAGTCCGCCGACTAAACAGTGTGTGTGGGAATACAAAGAGTTATCTTTCCATCTTTCAGACATCAGTTATATGTCACCTTGCACTTCATATATTCGATCTAAAATTGAAGCGGCAGAACAAAGATTACAACTTATGATTAAAATATCACGGACATACCTCTCCCGCACTTTTTCAGATTGCTCTCCGAGTGAGCTCTAATTGTGCGACACATAGATATCTGCTAAAAGAGGTCCTGAAGGCTTTTTCAAAGTAATACCATCAATCCGCCAAGGACAAATACCTAAAATGAGAACCTTACATTATCAATTCACACAAATAACGAATCATTTAAACAGGATAAAGGAAACGAAATTAGCAGGTTATATGCATAAATCTAATCACCCTAAGTATCAACCGTTATGAGTGAGGGTACATTAGTAAATAAGGAGTACATATTCAAATATAAATGAAGATAGAACGATCAATTCCTGGTTGTTTGCTCAAACCCAACTTCCCCACAATTTTCGTGCGTGATCAATCTGCCAGTCATCGTCTCATCGGTCGCTGTTGAGAAAGAAGCTAGAAAAAACTGTCAGAAGTAATATCGTGATTTATTGTTGTAATATTTGTTCTTAGACCTTAGTCTATTATGCTGGTTATATGTTGGTGTTAGAATAAAGAATTCTCGAGTCTCCAATCTGTGTTCTGGTTTTTGCGTCCGTTAGTACTGGGCGTTTCTGAAAGGCTTCGAGCGACAGCGTGAGGCCCAGTGTAGCATGAGCTGAGCATTAGCTGTTTATGTGACGTGATTAACACAGACCTTTTGCAATAATTGTGTTTGCATGTTTGCTGTAGTCTCTGGGTCCGCTTTCAATGCTTCGGGGTTATTCTATCTGGTCCGGCTGCTTTTCCAGCTTTCAGAAGCTTGATTGCATTCAAGACTTCAGCTCTCGTTGGAGGATTAATGTCAACTTGCAGTTGTGTGCGCTCTGTTGTTGGTATTTCTGGACGGGTTGCAGGTGATGGTCGGTTCAAAAGTCCTTTGAAGTGATCCGCCCATTGCTTAATCTGTTTTCCTTCCTTGGTAATTGGGTTCCCTTGGCTGTCTTTTATAGGTTTCGCTTGTGTTGATCTCTTCCCGGATAGAGATTTGGTTATCTGATATAGTGTCCTCAGGTCCCTTTTGCCTGCCGCCTTCCCAGCTTCAGTGGCCAGGTTGTCGTAGAATCGTCTTTTGTCCTTCCTAGCACTCTTCTTCGCTTCTTTGTCCAGTGCTTTGTAAGTTGAGCTCAGCGTCTCTTTCTCCATCCGTCTTTGCATTGAATCATTTTCTCTTTCACCATTGTCCTCTCCTCTATTAGCTTCCATGTGTCCATTTGCAACCATTACTTGTCTTGTCTCTCCTTTCTTCCTAGGACCGTTGAACACGTTTCGTTGAGAATCGCCTTCAGAGACTTCCAATGTTCTTCCACGCATGATTCTTCAGTGATGTCGCGTAGTGTTTCCTGCTCTGCTCTGACAGTTGCAGTGAAAGTGTCTTTTGTGGTTGCGTCCTTCAGTTTCTGAGTGCTGAACTTGCATTGTGGCCTATCCCCAGCTATCCTCGAGGCTTTTAGTTTCACCTTGAAGGTTCCTTCTACTAGATAACGGCCTGAACCCACATCTGCTCCTCTCCTTAACCTTGTGTCCAGTAGGCTCCGTCTCCACTTTCTTGAAATTGAGATGAAGTCTATTTGGTTCTTGGTGTTTCCATCTGGTGAAATCCATGTCGTCTTGTGTATATCCTTGTGTTCGAACACACTACCGCCAATCACCAAATCATTGAAGGCGCAGAAGTCTGAGAAGAGCTCACCATTGCCGTTCATTTCGCCGAGGGCCTCACGACCCATGGTGAGTTCTCTTCCTGTGTTGTCTCGTCCCAGCTTCGCATTCATGTCGCCCATCAGGATTTTGATATCGCCATTTGGGACGTTGTCCATTATTGCTTGTAGTTGTCTGTAGAACGCCTCCTTCTTCTCTCATTCTGAGACGTTTGTAGGCGCATAGCATTGAATGATTGTAACTTTCCTTCCTTTTGAGTTGAACCTGGCTGTCATTATCCTGGAGGAGACTGGTTCCCACTGCATGAGAGCTTTGGCTGCTGTTGGTGACATAATGATGGCCACTCCCTCAATGTGCTCATTGTTGTCCTCTGGGTGGCCGGAATAGATTACTGTCTCTCCAGTAGGTAGTTGGCACCTTCCAGTTCCGTTCCATCTGCTTTCGCAGATTCCCAACACTTCTATTCTGTACCTTCTCATTTCAGCGGCTATCTGGGCAGCCTTTCCAGTTTCGTACATTGTACGAACATTCCAGGTACCCATCCTTACTTTTGCTCTCATCGAAAGAAGGCACATCGGCTGACTGGC